GTCTTGGAAAGCAAACCCTCCAATGGCAGTATAATAGAGGGCAGTTTATACTGGATTTTATGTTACCTCTACCAGGGTGTTCGTAATAATTTTTACCTGACCTGACCTAAAGTAGGTAAAAAAAATTGCTTCTATTAGCAGTACTCCAATATATTGAACGGTAGACATCAGAAATGCATAAAAAAATTATCTAAAGGAATACTAGAAGTTAAGGTGAACGGCTCAGTTATGGAATCAGCAAATACTATAATTAGAGAACAAAGTAGCATTAACTTTGAGTCAGTGATGATGAAATAATAAATAGTGATCAAGTATCTTTTTCTAATATAAAACAGCTATAAACTCATTACAAATGCTGTATTCTGCAGCACTAGAATTAAAAAATATCTTAAAACAGATTCAACCAATGAATTGCAAATGGCCTCCGAAAGCAACAGAATTAAATTTGAAATATGCAGATGAGTTTGTACCAAATTCAGTGTTTAATTTTTTAGCATGTACACTCGGGCGTTCAGAAGAACCGACATTCGATTGTAAAGTAGAAGTAGATGCAAAAGGTAGAGTAGAAGTTTTAAGCATTGCACAGGACCTTATTTTCTTACATTTAAAAAGAAAAAACCTACCTCCAAAACATATAGCTCCTAATATGGCTACAAGACAAATTACAGGTTTAAAAAAATTAAAAATACTCTAAATGGGTTTGGACACAGCGTATTGAATTCAGTTGTTAGATCACATAAAGCAGGATTAGCTAGATTAAATATAAGTGATGATATTATTGGTTCAAATATAAACCCTGGTCAGTTTACCACACTTGTATGGGATGACATTGACTTTGAAGAGGAAACTTGTTCAGGTAGCAGAACCTCATACATGGCTAATGGGATTAATATAAAAATAAAGACTGAGAGCCCAATTATTTCATTACATCAATCTGTACAAAATATTAAAAAAAGTGAAAGGTCATTGTCAAACGCTAATATAGAGATACCGCAATATATTTTAGGTCTTAAAACGTCTTAAACGTCACCGCAACTGTGTGTCCGTTACAGGAACAATTCATTATCACTTAAAGAGGATGATTATGTAATAGATCAATCATTTTCAAGACTAACAAACTTTGCTTATATTTTGTGTAAGATGAAGGATTCTACTATATTGCTTCCTGGTTATACAGGTTTCAACACCCTACTTTAAGCAAAGCCTTCAAATAAATCTGTTATTGGTTACTAATAATACTGTAATAAATACACCAGTTACTGAAATTTCAACAGTAAATGAAATTCTTCAAAAGAGCAATGCAATAGCAGACAAGTTAGGATTGCGTCATGTGATTGTGATATTTGATAAAGCATTATATGGTAAAGCACAACAAGATGGAAAAATGAAATATTAATGAAGCGCATTATTATCCGTATTGGTGATTTTCATGCAGTAATGTCATAAATCAGTGCTGTAGGCAAATAATTTACAGACTCCGGTTTGCAGGTATTACTATTTTTTATTGCTTCTATTCACAATCACTTCGTATTTTGTAATATTGTTAGCACTTCTATTGATAGTAATTCCTTTTGTTTCGACTTTTACTAAAGGGCGCTAAGAGGGAGGTGCAAAGAGACGTTTTTTCCCAGACGGAAAATATCCCAGGGGCCCCAAAGAAAGAGATAGGACCTAAAAAAAAATATTGTCCTTCACTAATAATATAGGAAATAGGGTTTCTGGTTCGAATATACTCGTAACCGATATTTGCGAATAATTGCTCAAAACTCATTATTCGTTATTCGCAAATTGTTGTCAATTATTTGCAAATAATTTTGTTTGTTTTTTTCGATTTTCTGTGAGAAAATTAATTGGTTCCACCCCATTATGCATAATTCCTGTTATGCATAATTCCTGTCAGGAATTATGCATAACAGGAATTATGCATAATGGGAAAACACCAAGTAATTTTTTAAGAAAAAAAAAAACACCTAAATTTATTCCAAAATATTGTTTATTTATTTATAAAATAAGATTTTAGGAATACTAATGCATTCAAAGATTTGTCTGATAATCTAGATCTTATTTTTGTACAAAAATTAGACGATAACGAAAAAATTCTTTCCGATTGAGTAGAGGTTGGACGGATTGTTTTTAATGAATTTTGTAACAATCTGATGTTTTCCGTTTTTTTCCCTGTTAATATGAATAAATTAAACTCTTGTCTAAGTTTATCAAAACCAGTTGAACTTTGTTTTTCTTCGGTTGCTTTTGCAATAGATGAATTCAATTCATCTAAAAGGCTGGCAAATTCATTTTCTGGGCATGTAGTTTCTATAACTTCATTACTTTGGTTGCCATCATCGTTGTTTTCAAGAGGATATAAGCGATTTAAAAGTTAAATTGCACCATCCACCATATTACGTGATTGTATGGATGGGGGGATGTGGGGATGTGGGGATGGGGGGATGTGGATGATTGTGTGGAAGGCTTATGTACTAAATAGCACCTTCAGCTGTAAGTAAATTTGCATCTCATCGACTTTAAGCTTCAACAGTTAGTTTTATTGGTTTTAATACTTCCACAAGATTAGCGCAAAAATCAAAATCTAAGCTATCGTACAGACGAATACTATCTAAATTTTCAAGTGCATTTTTTATACTATTTTGAAGTTACAATGCGCGCTCTAACATCGTATCGATGAAATTCCAACGCGTTTTCACATCTAGTAACAATTCCAACGGTTTTTTATGTTGTTCTAATACGTGTTGTTTTAGTACATTGTTTTTAACGGTCAATTTTTTAAAGTATTTAACTACTTTATGTAGAGGTTCTAGCTTTAAATTCATTAAAGATGACCAATTATGTGATGATGACTGGTTATCAATAGCCATATCATAATTAGACCCATTATTTTCATCATCAGTAGAATCTGGAGACAACTCTTCGTTATCAACAACCTCCGAGTTTTCAGTCATAACGTCAATTACAGCCAAATGCAACGCGTGATTATAACACAGTTGGGTGATTGTAGGTGATTCTGTGCCTAATTTTACCATAACAGCGGCACGATCCGTTGTGCAAGCCACAATATCAATATCAAAATTGATGTCAAACGATCTTAGATGTTCACGAACTATCATTTGCAATGTTTTTGCATCTGCACAACAAGGACTGCGAACCAAACCAAGATTAAAAAAATCTCCATCATGTGTATGAATATCTCCATCATGTGGATGAATATTTATATTCAAATACTTTCTTATTTTAACACTAGTCCATTCGTCCATAGTCAAACTGAATTTTTCGTTGTTCGCAAGCATACTTTTCGATTTTTGCTTCAACTCTGCTTTAGTTACTTCGTAAAAATTATGAGCTAATGTCATTACATCGGAAGGATTTTTTGGCAAGACTTTTTCTGATTCGCCAATTTTCTAACGTATGAAATCTGATTTAGTTATCGCATTAAATGAAAATCCATCTTTAGCTGCTAGTTTTGCAACAATCTTTTCTAAAGGTTCTTTTTTGACAAAATCTTGAAGAGTCTTTTATGTTTTTTTTGCTTAAGGTGGTTGGCTTTCTGACTCCTGCAAATCCAAATCATTTTGTGTTTCAGAAACAAGTGATTTTTTATGCTGCTTGTTCCTCTTCCTGTATACGAAAATTTTGTATTAGATTCCTTGCATACAGTTTTTGTTTTGTCATTTGGATTTAATGTAAAGTGTTTCCATACCTTTGATTTGCTTTTACTTGAATTCATTTTTGTACTGAAAAAAATACACAATTTTTAGCAAAAAAAAAAAAAATTTTATTGTATTGCAATCAACTCAAATTAAAAATTCAATCGAAAAATTTACGTGAAGTGAAATCATAAGATTTGCGTATGCATGATTCTACTGTAAAGCAATGTGTATTTATATACAATGATACAACGTAAAAAAACATGTATTCGATTTTGTACAAGAAATTTTTAACAATTAAATTTGAGTTACGTAAATTATCAAATATTTTACATTAAAAAAAAAAAAATATGACTGAATATTGATTCTAGAACAATAATTACGTAATTACAACTTACAATTCTCGTAATTTTAACAGGAATTTTAATAATTAACTTTTTTATTATTAATCGTTTGTATTTTTCGTCTGTATTTTCTAAGAGAATATTTAGCCGTTAATAACCGTTAACCGTAAGATTCGTTCGCTGGACATGTATGTGTACTAAAGTATCCCCGCTAAATTTTGAATTCAAAAGTTTTATCTGTTTGTAATTCCCAACTATAAGTTTTATTTAATTTATAATACAAAAACACGAGTAATAGAATAGTTATTGAAGTAGACAACCAAAATTAAAAAAAAAACTACAAAAACGAAACACAAGAAATTCTTCGTTGCAACAAATATTAACTAGTATTAATCCGCTAATACCTCGATCCATCTCATCCATTAAGTTGTACTCATCAACATTTAGATATGTAAATACAACTTATGGAAAAGAATATGTGGTTATGAACACCATGGATGATGGAAGCGGTATTTATTTAAAACAAATTAGAATGCATGCCATAGGAGGATCTGGAAACTGGTGGGAATTCAGATTACGTACACTGTAAATCCAAAAGGTTCTTCGCGGTTCTTTGAAGAACCTAAAGGTTCTTGGAGAAAATTTAAGGTTCTTTAAAGAACCTACGGGCTCTTAATATTCTCTATTGGTTCTCTAAAGAACCGGCGGCTTATTTACAAAGCATTAAAAAGAACCCACAAGGTTCTTCAACCGTTTTACGGAAAACCTTAATTTAGGGTTCTTTAAATCTTTTGTAAACGCCATTTTATTTTTATAATCGGTCGTTATATATAATGATTATAATCGCTATTATAATCGCTGTTGATGTTAACAACGAAAACAAAAACAACTTAAATGTTTAAGGCACAAATTAAATTTTCTCATGATAATCATTTAAACTTATAAAGAATGGTATAATAATAACAAATGATTATCATGACAGTATTTAATTTGTGCCTTAAACATTTGACTTGTTTTTGTTTTCGTTGTTAACATCAACACCGATTATTACAGGCTATACATATAACATATAACATATAAATATAACATATATAAATATATATATATATATATATATATATTTATATATGTGATAGATATATATTATATATTATATATATATATATATATATATATATATATATATATATATATATATATATATATATATATATATATATATTTATATATGTGATAGATATATATTATATATATATATATATATATATATATATATGTATATATATATATATATATATATATATATATATATATATATATATATATTTATATATGTGATAGATATATATTATATATTATATATATATATATATATGTATATATATATATATATATATATATATACATATATATATATATATATATATATATATATATATATATATATATATATATATATATATATATATATATATATATATATATATATGTATATATATATATATATATATATATATATATATATATATATATATATATATATGTATATATATATATATATATATATATATATATATATATATTTATATATGTGATAGATATATATTATATATAACATATATAGATAAATATATATAAACATATATATATATATACATATATATATATATATATATATATATATATATATATATATATATATATATATATATATATATATATATATATATATATATTTATATATTTATAAAATACATATATATATATATATATATATATATATATATATATATATATATATATATATATATATATATATATATATATATATATATATATATATATATATATATATATATATATATAAAACTCAGTTATTCAACCTTGGACACCCTATAATGGCAATTATTAAACAACATTTCCTGGATATGAAGTTAACAGATGGTGCGTCTATCTCAGGACAATGCTACTATTATGCTTAGATGGTTGCTTTGAGAGTTAAAATTAAAAACCTTTTTTTTTTAATTTTTTATGAAACTTGCGAACCATTAAAAAGTTGCACTTTTTTATAACAATTAATTTTACAACAAATAATTATGCTTGCGATGCACTTAGAAAAATTCAAAAAACTATGGATAAAAATGGTCGGAGAAAATGAGTCATGGAATTTATTAGTTCACTCTATATTTCAATGCCAATCACCCATATAAAAAAATTAGACGTAGTACAAAAACAAGCAGCGAGAATCATTTCCCATGCACCACGAAATTAGACTTTCTTACTTAGCCACTTTTTATTGGTATAACTATCATCCGTCTAAAGAAACAATAAAAAACATGGGATATTAAAAAAGTTACAAAGTAGCTCAGACATAACCACAGATAAGACCCAACTAATTATTTTCAAACCACTCAGGAAGCAAATACCTGCTGACTACCAAATTCTATTTGATAAAATAGCAATAAAGTCTGAAAACAATGTAAAATTATTAGGAGTAACATTAGACCAGCATCTGACCTTTAAACAGCAGATCGAGTCGGTAATAAAAAAATGCAACTTTTCCTTGGGAATGTTGGCAAGTGCATCAGCAAGCCTACCAAAAAAATTATTAAAGTTGGCCTACAACGGAATGGTACTTAGTCATGGAATTTATTAGTTCACTCTATATTTCAATGCCAAACACCCATATAAAAAAATTAAACGTAGTACAAAAACAAGCCGCGAGAATCATTTCCCATGCACCACGAAATTCCCATGCTGCACCATTAATTTAAGAACTTGGACTTAAAGTTGAAATAAAATAAAAAATTTATGTATATATATATATATATATATATATATATATATATATATATATATATATATACATATATATATATATATATATATATATATATATATATATATATATATATATATATATATATATATATATATATATATATATATATATATATATATATATATATATATATTATATATATATATATATATATATTTTTTTCAATTTTTATCAAGCAACCATTTACAATTAAAGATAATTTCCGTAAAATATTTAGAAAAATTAAATACAAGTACATTTCATTATTTATAATAGTTACAAGACCGGAGAACCTGAAGAAGATTAAGTCTTTTCATCAGTAACCTTTGATAATAAAAATTGGAAATAATCGTGTATTGTTAGAAAAAATCATGTAAAGAATCGTGATTGGCAATAAGTTCGATTATGTTCTTTTTAAATTTTTGAAAGTTATTGGCTTCTTTAAGTTTACCACTCAGACTTGTAAAATGGTTTCATAGCATTGGGCGACGATAGGAAATGGCAAAGCTCGTAAGTTTTGATGAACGGAAAGGTTTTTTAAATTTTCCGGTTGATAGCGTGTTGTATCGGTTTAATGTTTTATGGAAAATATTTTCGAAAACCTTCGGCGTTTTTTTTGACTGAAGTTGAAACATAAATTGTGTAATTTTGAAAATATTTAACTCATAAATATCAAGTGCCCTCATGCTTTTTAGAAGAGGTTTAGCATTTGTGAAGCGATTTTGAAAATGAATAATGCGTGCTGCATGATTCTGTTGTTTAAGGAGACAGTCGAGTTTAGATTTATTTGTACTACCCCAAACAATATTGCCATAAGATAAATAACTATTTATGAATGCAAAATATAGTTGAGTTAGTGTAGATTTGTCTAAGATTCGTGAATTGAGCGCTCATATTTGTGAATGAGCGCTCAATATTGATGTTATTTATATATAGCATTGGTAAGGATTTTGGAATAGATTGAAACTTTCGTTTAGAATGGAATAAGGAAAACTTAGTTTTATCAATAGTAGACATAGTATAATAGTAGACATAGTATTTGATGCTTTATATAGATCGTTGACATAGATTAAGAATAGCAACGGACCTAAGATGGAGGCTTGTGGAACCCCACATGATATTTTATGTTTGTTTATCTGAAAGCCATCATTAAGAGAAATAAACTGCTTTCGATCAGTTAAGTAACTGGTAAACCATTTATGGTATTCGTGGCTTATTCCATAATATTTTAGTTTTTCTAATAAAATCTGATGGTTAACGGTGTCAAATGCTTTTTACAAGTCTAGGAATATACCTAAGGTGATCTTGTTATGAGAAGATGCTTCACTAATAACTTCAACAAGTTGCATAAGTGCATGTTCCGTAAAGTAATTTGATCGAAAACCATATTGGTTCCAATAAAGAAGATTGTTATCATACAAAAATGCAAATATCCTATTGTACATGATACGTTCGAGGATTTTTGAAAATACAGGTAATACCGATATAGGTCGATAATTTGTAACCAGACTTTCATCTCCTGATTTAAAAATGGGTGTAATAATTGCAACTTTCATTTTATCTGGAAAAACACCTGTTTTAAACGATTTGTTAAAAATATCTAATAAAACATCTTTAATAAGTTCGTAGCAGTCTTTGATTATGCTTGCTAAAATAGCATCATAGCCTGTTGATAGATAGCTCAAGAAATGTGCAGGAGTGTGTTTAATTTTGCTGGCTAAGTTTGGACCAATATTAACGAAAAACTCATTAAATTTTGTTGCCACCGATTTTACATCAGAGATCTGTGTGCCGTCTACAGTAATCGCGCTTGGTAAGGCTTTGTTGTGTATTTTTTGTTTTCCAAGAATCTCTTTAATAGCATCCCACGTTTTTTTGCAGTTACCTTTTAGTTTTAACAGCTTGTTTTTAAAGTATGTAGTTTTGGCAATTTTTTTATATAGACTTTATATATTATCTTTCATATAGACGTTTGTGCTCTAAGTAATTATGCTTATCACGTTCTTTCTTTGAATTAATAAAGCGTATGTATAGCTTTTGTTTTCGCTTCGAAGACTTTAAAAGGCTTTTAGTGAACCAAGGATTAAGAAGACCTTTAGTTTTAATACGGATTATTTTATTAGGAAAATGCTTATCGTATAAATTGAAAAATTTATCTAAGAAAAGGTTGTAGCTGTTATTAGCACATGTTTCGAGAAAAACAAAGTTCCAATTTACAGTTGATAGCTCTAGTTTAAACATATTTTTTGCTCGGGTTGTAAAGACTCTTTTTTTGAAGTACCAGTCCTTTTTTTGTAAATCTTTTGGTTTTTTGAAAATTGCAAAGACTGGAAAATGGTCGGTTATGTCACTTCTGATGATGCCTGATTTAAATGTGGAATGGAAGAGTGTATTTGTGAAAATATTGTCGATTGCAGAACAAGAGTGTTGTGTTGTTCTTGTTGATTTATTTATTATAGACATCATTCCAAACTCATTAAAGCTATCGTAAAATTGTTGTACTTTATTATTTTCACCATATTTTAAATAGTCGACGTTATAATCTCCAAGAAATAAAAATGAGTGGTCTTAATTTTTTTTGTATGATGTTTCAAAATAATCACTTAAGTGATTTTTAAAGTTATTTAAACATTCGTTTGGTGGTCGGTATGTAGTTGTCACAATAATATTTTTAGATGACTTATTGTAGATTTCTAAAGTAAAAGATTCAAAATCCGGCTCAGAGAACGACAGGTCATATCTAATTTGATAAGTAAATTCATCAAGCACATAGACACATATACCACCGCCTGTTTTTGAAGACTTACGTTCAAAACTAATGGCTTTGTAGTTGGGCAATATAAATTTAGAATTTTGATTAAATGTTGTATCTAAAATCCAGCTTTCCGTTAAACAAATTAAGCTAAAGTTAAAGTTAAGATTATCTAGTAGGACTTTTAGTTCGTCGAAGTTTTTAGTAATACTACGAATATTTAAATGAAACACTGAGAATTGATTAGAAAAATATAATTCACATCTTTTAAGGAAAATAGCGGCTTTATCCGAATCAAAGTAAGAAGTGTTCAGTTTGTTTATGTTGAGAAGTGGATCTTGAATAAATTGAGATTTTATTCAAGTATAGTCAATATTTGTCTTTTTTGGGGGAGATACTTTTGATGACGTTGCTAAATTAGTGGTTGCTAGTGGCTATTTGTGAAAAATTCGAGTAAGATTGTCATTTCTAATACCGTAATGAAATTGAATTTTTTCTTGTTCACTTTTTAACGCATTTTTTTCGTTTCGTTCTATTAATTTATTTTTTATAATGAATCTTTGACTTGCTGTTAGATCGCGATTTATATACACATTTTCATATTTTTTGATTTTTCTTAATTTAATTGATGCTTTAAGAACCATATTTTTGTTATTAACGTCTTCAAGCTCGATAAGCAAAGGATTGATAGTTCCTTTAGATTTAAGACGGCGAATAGATCTCACTTTTGCTCTATCGCATTCGATAGCACTAAGTAAATATTTACTTGCGATTTGTCATTTTCTAGTTTTTCCGTCTGAGAAGAACATTGGGTAGCTTCTTGTCCATAGATGATAACGTTTGTTTCTCTCCGTTCTTGGTCTTTACGTTCCTTTGTGGTTTCAAAAAGAAGAGATAGTTGGTCATTTGTTTTTTTGGCAGCCCCTGATACAACTTTTGACCACGAAGTTCCTCTTGTATCAGAATTGACTTCTTTTGATTTTTCCATTTCTGCAATTATACATTTTAGTTGCTTGTTTTCTTTAACACATTCCGCGACCTCGAATTTTAAGTTTTTTATTTCATCCTCGAAAATTTTTATTACGCCATCTAACATCTTTTTTATCTGTTTTTCTTGCTGATCCGTTAAATTTGTCATGATTTTACTTTCAAGTGTAGTTTAGTTAAAAAGTATTGTCGTGTATGTATCGTATCGTGTATATCAAATACTGATATATATTATATATACGAATATATATTTAATTATTAATATTATTAGTATTATTATACTTATTTGATATGTATTTTACATATAATTTATACAAATATATTTGCTAAAATTGGTAATTAGTTTTTATCGGAGCGCAAAAATAAAGCTAGATGGTTAAAAAATTATACAGAAAACAAACATACAGTAAAATAAAAAACAGGTGCAAACGGAAACTTATAACTTTAGCGAAGAGGGAAAAAAAAAACTATAAAATTCTGTAAAAATAGTAGCGAATTGAAGCGTAAATAAAATCTTGGTTATAACTATTTATATAATAATAATATATAAATAAAGATATGTATAATCGGAAATAAGTATAGGTATATTAAGAATAATAATGCGAAGTACAACAAAGATTTATTTTAGACACGAATATAGTTAATATATTATTATAATATTTTAATATATTATTATAATATTTAAGTAGAAAAGTAATTAATAAGTTAATAAGATAAAGCAATAAGAAAAGAAAGAAGTAAAGGTTAGAAAAAAAAAAATAATAAGTGGAAAAGAAAGATAAAGAATACGGAGAAAAATAAAAATTCCTGAAAACTTACGCTCAAACAAAAACACGTCTTATCGACTCGAAGACAAAGCGCAAAAAAAAAAAATTTAAAAAAAAAAAAAAAAAAATATATATATATATATATATATATATATATATATATATATATATATATATATATATATATATATATATATATATATATATATATATATATATATATATATATATCCCTTAAAGGACGGGAAAAAAAAGTTACGTTAAGGACGGCTGGGGTATTAAACTACCCCAACTAAAAATATAGGTTTTTATAGAAAACATGTTGAGCTTTTTAACTTAAAATGCGTGCTTTCAACAAAAATATCAATTTTCTCAATGTTTTTTTAAATAAAAGTGATATTTGATACAATTTATTCAAATAAAAACAAAATATAACTCCTAAATAAGGCAACTATTGCAAACAATTTTGCTATGAGCCTTGCAAACAAAATGGCTACATGATGCACATTGAAGACGGGTTTTTCTGTCTTGAACACGAGGATACATATAGCACTTTTTTATGTGCTGCTCTTGACTTGGTTGACCTTGATTTAATAGGTTATTTTGTACAATTACTTGGCGAATATTATTATTTGCAACTATTTGTGGAAGATTGTCATTTGCATCAAACTTTTTAATAAGACTTTTTGATAATTCTTTTAAAAATTCTCTTCTTCTATGAGAAGCTCTATTTTTATAATTTGGGTGAATCGACAAGAATAAAATCAAAGCATTGTATGCTGCAATATCCAAAATATTACAAAACATTGTAAATGGCCATCGGTTACTTTTTCGGCGACTCGAATAGCACCTGACAACCTGGTCTAATGTGTCAACTCCACCTTTATATTTGTTGTAATCTAGAATAATACACGGTTTTTCATTATGGTCCATAACAATGTCATTACTGTGATGGAAGGTTGATAATAATATTACTGCTTTGTTTTTCTTAGGTACATAAGAAACAATAGTAGAGTCATTTTGAAAAGCAAAAATGCTAGAATAAACTGGTCGATGTAAGGCTGGCAATAACTTTTTTGGTATTTCTCCTTTATTTTTTTTAATGGTGCCAGTGTATGTCATTTTATGTCCTAGCAATGCACGTGCAAGATGAATGTTTGTAAAAAAATTATCAGCTGTTATGTGTCTACCACTTCCATTTAAGTGATCAGTTAGTTCAAGAACTACTCGTGTAATTTGTCCAACGTCACGTACTCCATTTATTCTACCAATATACGGTTGCAAATTTATGCAGTAAGAAGTTTCAGCATCACATAATATCCATATCTTCATTCCATACTTTCCTGGCTTAGTAGGTATAAACATCTTAAATGGACAACGTCCCCTAAATGTAACTAATTGCTCATCAACAGTAAGATATGCACTTGGATTGTAGTTGCTCTTACATTTAGTAGTAAACATTTCCATTATATTTCTTAAAGGTGCAAATTTGTCTTCAAACCGTCTTTGATTTCTTGTTTCTCTCTCATCAAATCGAATCCATCGTCGCAAGTTAACAAATCGATCTCTTTGCATTGAAGTAGAAAATATTGGTATGCCATCTAATTTACTTTAAAGCTCTTTTATGCTTTGATTTTTAGAATGAAACACTCTAGCTAGAAGAAGAACTCCAATAAACTCATAAAGCTGATTTACTGTCGTGTCAACCCATCCTTCTAGTTTTATTCTACGAGCTTCAGCATTAGTGCAATTGACAATGATTCTAATCATTTCTGGTGTTATAAAAAGTTTAAAGGCAGTATCCACACTTTGGCCGCAAACTTGAGCTGCAAACCTTGTTGGGCCAGTTGGTTGTCGAATAATATTGTGTGCACGTGGCTGAGCAGCATTTACAGATGGAAGTTTACTCCAAATTTCCTCACCATTCTTTGAAATCATGTTTTGATTTAAAATGTGATTTTCCTGAACAACTTCTTCATCACTTTGATCAGAGATGATAGCATCTGATTCATCGTCAACTGTAACAATATCTTCTTCATCGTCTGTAATGTTTTCATCAGCTGAGTCATCACTTGAAGATAAGTCATTTAAACCAAAAATAATATTATTAGCCTCGACTGCAGCATTTCTTCTTGGGCGACTCATTATATAAATTATACTTATTCTAAAAATAATTTCAGTCTTTATTAAACCAAATATGTGAAAAATATATAACAAATATTGTAGGCATTATTATTTTGTACCAATAATATAAATATTTTTGACATAAAATCAAAATATATGCAACATGAGCAGACTACTGTTGTTACAGTGAGTGTATATATTTAATCAATATATGGTATAATTTACTCATAAAGAAGATAAATAATACCCCATACCTATTTAAAAATAACTAAAATATAAGCAAGTGTTAAAATAAACATGATTTATATAGCTATTTATTGATTCACTAACTAAAAAATGAAAAAACTTGCATGGGGTAAAAAAATACCCCAACCGTCTTTAACGTAATTAAATTTTCAACTAACAATATTATTGTCAATTGATTAGTAAAACAAAAACATTTTACACTAAAAACTTCCTTTAATGATAATAAAAGATGTTCTGAAGTGGCAGCTCAAATACACAAAATTTGTTGATGTGGCAATTAAAAGTAAACTCTTCTGGGGTAGTAAAATACCCCGCCGTCCTTTAAGGGATATATATATATATATATATATATATATATATATATATATATATATATATATATATATATATATATATATATATATATATATATATATATATATATATATATATATATATATATATAGAAAGACCGGATACTGAAGTCAAATAAAATAAATTACAATGAAGCGCAAAAAGAAAAAACTAAAAAGGACCATATAATGGAACATTCTGCAACAGCATAGGTGTCTAGCTGTCATCGAAAGAAAATAGAAAATTTACAAACAAACAAACAAATCGGCACCTACAATTATCAGTTAGATAAGTTTTTAAGAGATTTAATGCCACCTATAATACCTTCAATGTTTTGCACAAAAGATTTATTTAGTTTCGTAAAAGATCTGAGTCAAGTTAACATTCATGGAAAATACTTAGTAACTTACGACTTCACAAGCCTATAATCTAATGTACCTCTTCAAAAACCATCGGTATTACTGTTAATTCAATTTTAAGCAGTTAATGTTAAAATTAAAAAATCTGATTTAAAGGAACTCTTCATCTTTGCAGTATCGCAATCACATTTTCGATTTAAAAAACAGACTTTTGACCAAATAGATGTGTTGCTATGGGCTCCCCACTAGTTCCTCTTCTTGCAAACTTATTTATAAATCATTATGAAGAAAAATGACTACAATCATACGATGGAGTCAAGCCAGTATTTTACAAACGTTATGTTGATGACATTATTGCTGCATTCTTATCAGAAAAGAATGCATGCCATTTTCTTGACTATATCAATTTAATATCTTTTACTATGGAACTGGAGAAGGAATCTAATATCTCTTTCTTGTACAAACAAAGAAAATAGTTCCTTATCTACCTCCATTTTTCATAATGAGACGTATTCAGGTCTTCATACTTCCTTTTGTAGATTCATTTCTTTTTCACCCAAGGCACATTTATTTAAATGCTTAATTGATTGAACCTTCAAAATTAATAAGACTAAACTTTTTTTTATTATGACATTAAAAATATTTTTAACATTTTCAAAATAAATATTTCTTCAACGTTTTTAATGTTAAATTCCATTCTTTATATAAAAAATATTTATTCACGAAAAAAAAAAACGCTTCTTACTCGCCTTGTGCCTAAATTAGATATTTACATATAATGTTGATTACAATTTTTCGCTTATATATATATATATATATATATATATATATATATATATATATATATATATATATATATATATATATATATATATATATATATATATATACATATATATATATATATATATATATATATATTATATATATATATATATATATATATATATATATATATATATATATATATATATATATAACAGGAAATAGAAATAGTTGAACTAGATTACATGTTACCATAAGCAGAATGATCGTGATAATTAGACGTCTGATTGATAATAATAATTCCGTTTTATTTTATAAAGCAAGTCAATCAATCAACTTTCCTTTAATAATTCTAACATATAAGTTATCTCATAAGTTGCTTATTAATCACGTAATAGTCAAACGGGAAAAATACATAAAGTTTTATGCCATGGTAAGTGATATATAATATATAATTTCATATGCGATAGATAATACTTTTCATGGCTAAAACATATGGGGTGCATTGAATCAAAAATATCATCCGCAATAGAGATTTTATATTATTCTTACTTTTATCTCGATTGTAGTTCACAAAAAAACTTTTTCTTTAGTCTTATTCATAATCATATCTCCAATCCATAGCCATATCTCAAAAGCTAATATAGCATATGAGAAATTCTTTACAAGATATATTTTCGCAACCTTTTTTTCTGTCAGTAAAACGTGCGTTTAAACAGTTCCAATACACTCTTAAACAAAATCAGGAATCCACAACTGAAATTCAGGGGAAAAAACTGAATTAATCATTGCGTTTAGGCACAACTGATTGTCAGGTGTAATCGCCTGATTTTCTGGCAGTTCTTTTTCTCTGGAAATCAGGGAAACCAAGCCTTCTGAAAATCAGGGATTTTGTTGCACTGAAATTTAGGAATTCTATTACTGTATATTCAGCGAAAAACTTTCGCCAACTGGGGTTTTTTATACCGACTTAATATATATTATATTGTCGGCATTTTTATTGTGGATAAAATTGATTATGAAACAATCTCGTCTTAATCTTGTTAAGTAAAGTTTTTGGGCATGCCTATTTTAACATGGTTATGCTGTTGCGATTCAAAATCTATATTATACTATATTATTCAAGACTTTTCACATTCATAACTGTATTCGATTCCAGTTACTTAAATTTATGCTGATAAAATTCATTTTGATTTCATTAACCATGTTATTTAGTTATAATTTCCAGGTAGATATGATTACAATAATTAAGTTAAAAATTTTTTTTTACCATAATTACAAACATTACAATGTAAATATTACTTTTTAGTAAATACTGCAAATAAATTAAAAAAGATTTTGTTGATGTGTGCATTTGAATAACATTTTTGATAATTTTTCTATATCACAATGTGTGTAGATGTTGCTTATTTAAAAGAGTGTTAAATTTAACGTGCTTTTAAAAAAGTAACAAGATCTCGTACACATTCTGAGATAGGAAAATTGTCCAAGATCCCATAAAAATGCACTTGCAAAAACTGCCAAACATGACTTACACTTTGGTCGTACTCAATTTGACCGATTTAGTGTAGCTTGAAACACTTATCAACAGGAGAAACCATACAACGCGATTCAATAACTTCGTTTTCTACAACGACAAAGGATTAGCTTATGTTGCCAGTTACACCCAATGCAATAATTATTGGTTGTTTAATACTGTCACTTTTGATTTTAGAAAGAATTTCGTCCATTGAAGTTCCATACTAATAAAAGGTAATATAAAAATAGTTTACCCATTTTAAACAAATTAAATATAAAATTAAGACCTCCGCTAAAAAATTTTACACAATAAGATAAACGTAGCCATTGCTTACAGAATGAAGCTGGATAAATCGCTTGTAAACTTCAGCAACCAAGACACGTTGCCGATTTCGCATAGGAACCTTTAGCATAAGTGGAAGTAGTAATAGAGCGTACTCTTCTTTGGTATCTATAAAAATATTGCTAAATACATATATTACCATTAGATACACATATAAAAAGTTATTAAAACAATATAATTTTTAAAAACTTAATTAATAAGTTAATTCTAACTCATTTGGTGATAAGAAACTATTTTTATTTAAACATGAATAAATTAAACAAACCTTTATGTAGGTTGTTGTTAGCTGCTATTTCGTCAAGTAATATTGTAAGATCGGTTGACAACCCTTTGCGTTTTCCTTTGGATAGCTGCAACAACAACAACAAAAAAAACTATTATGCTGTGTTTAATAAGTTATCTACTTTTCTTAACTTATCTATCTATTGCGGTAGTGGTGTAGTGGTAGAGCGCTCGCTTCATAAACGAGTGGTTCCGAGTTCGATCCCCACCACGCCCCTGGTAGTACCGCGCTCAACTTGTTTCTCCGCGCAGCGGCCTTGTTCATCAATTCGTGTTTCGGAGTTATAGAGTTGAAAGAGGGTTATAACCACAAATAAGTAGCCTCCTTGTCTGTAGTGGCCTATTCGGCCTTGAGGAGGTGAATTAAAATTACAAAAAAAAAACAAAAAAAAAACTTCCCCATTTAATTTTTAGTAAATTATTTATAAATTTTAACTTAAATTTAAAATAAAATTAATTATATTTAGTTTTATTATCTGATTTTACATACTAATACCAAAAAATGCAAGTTTCAAAATTAAAAATCATATTAAAAGTTTCCTAACCAGTTACTATTTTTTACAAGATTTCCAACAATGATACGCACAAAAAGATCTTTCATCAAGACTAACTGCCCGGTTCGTTCATATTCAGATAAGATTGATGCACCTTTAGGGTGATCTTTTAACATAGAGTCAATGCCCTTAACAAAAATTAAAATTCACTTCTACAATATTACAAATAGTAAAATATACATAATTTTATAAACAATTTTGAAAAGTTTTCAAAAGTTTCTAACAAAATTATAAATAACATGCATTTATGATTAAATTGAACAACAAACATAACTCACAATAGCAATTAAAAAAAAATTCTAGAAAAAAAAATCTTTATTAGCAAATGCAAACTAATAAAGATAACTATTTACTATGCTTATTAATAAATATAACAATTTTATTAAAAAAACCAAAAATTTTCATTTAATTATATTTATCAAATAAATTTCACTCACAAACTTATATTGACATTGATATGAACTGGAAGAACTTTGTTTTTGAAAAAAATCTGGCTGGTTTTTTTGTAATTAAACAAATATGCTAAAAATAATGTAAGTTTACACCTTTGTCATCATCCAAATATTGAGATAATAGAGAGCGATTTACATACTGATACATATTTTAATATCTTTTAATAAAAAAGTTATACATAGTTGTTGAGATATTAGAGAGACAAGTATCATACAGAATCTCAAAGTTAGATATACAGTGCTCGAAGTGGAGCATGATGCCATCGCCTTTTTTTAAAGTATAAACCATTTGGCCACCTTTTTTAAAATCTCTGTATATAACAATGAGAACATTTCAATTTGAGAACATCATTTTGAGAACATTTCAAAAACAAACAAAAAAGCGCATTAAGATTAACTGGACCGATGAGAGACAGTTGAATTATTTGTGAAACGTCGCTCTTTTATAATTTTTTTTATAAAATTAAGTGACATTTTTTATATAAAGTAACAACTTGCTATTAATGATTGTTTAATAAGGAAACAAATGTTTTTCAATTTATCAAAGAATTTATACAATTTTTATTTATATACTTTTGTCTTATTTTCAGTGCTGGATTGAGGAGGTGGGGAGGGGGAGGGGGAGTAGAAGGGCTATAGCCTCGGGACTCACAATGTTAGGGGCCGCGAAAGAGTCAAGAGGACAATTCGGTATTTTTTTAGTCATTTTTACGCTGTGGCACATAAAAAAAGCTGCCAAAATAATGCAGCCCCTGAAAAGTCCAACAAGATTCAACCAATAAAACTAACATTAGATGTTTTCAGATGTTATGAGCAGAATTTGTTTTTAACAAATATCATTATAATTTTGAAATTTATGTATCTTATACATAATATATTTGGGTTTTTAAAGAGTTTATTTACTGATCACGTTATTTTTAATAGGTTTGTATTTTAGTTTGTTCAAGGACGTATTTATAAATAAAAAAGTTTTTCAATAACTGTTTTATGCTTTGCGTTGTTTGAAAAGTTTAACACATTTGAAACAATTTTTCTTAGTAAGATGGACAAATGAAATAATTAAATCATTTAGTTACTGTAGAAATTCAATTAGCTAAATAGATGTTAAGTAAAAACGTTAAATTACTATGTGAGGAGGAAGCGGAACTGCTTCACAATAACACTGATAATGTTTAGTGAGTGGGCTTTACAATTTTAATTAATATTTACAACAGAAAAAAATAACTTTATGTTTAAGTATAACAAATTTGTAAGAATGGAGCAAAAATAATTGAAGTTAGTAAACCAATTTCTAAGAACTTAAAAACTTTTCTTTCTTGGGGGAAAGAATCAGTTATCGGGTATACTGAGGAAAATGGATTAGTGGTTAAAATTATTTATATTAACTTTGATGATTATTAATAATTTCATTAAAAACGCATTTTTTATTGAAAGTATTTTTGTTTACAAAATCAATTACACAAAATTTTTTATTTTTTTTTATTTGCATTCACCCCCAACAAGGCTGCAAGCAACCACTATTAAGTTGTGAGTTACTAGGAAAAAAAGAGCAGAGTTATAGAGCAAGGAAACGGTTGACAGAAGACTTGAAAAGTTGAAGGTTGTATGAGTCAGGAAAATATGAAGATGGGAGAGAGTTCCAAAGGATTGAAGTGCGGGGAAAAAAACTAGATGAATAAAAGTTTTTAGAGCATGCAGGGACAGATACAGTAAACGAATGAGACTTAGCTGAAAGACGAGTAAAACGAGAATGAATTTTAGTTGATGGAACTAGAGATGATAACTCCTTTGAGCAGTGACCATGATAGTGTTTGTAGAAAAAAGAAAGAGATGCAACTTTACGACGATGGGAAAGAGGTTCAATCTTATCAGATAGTCCAGGTCCAACAACATTTACAATGCGTTTTTGGACCTTGTCAAGAAGAGAAAGTGAATTGTTAGAAGAACCAGCCCAAATATGACAACAGTATTCCATACAGGGACGAATAAGAGATTTGTAGAGGTAGAGAATGGAATCAGAAGTAAGGAAATGGCGAGCACGATAAAGAGAAGCAACCTTAGCAGAAGCTAATTTAGCAATCGATTGTATATATGGTTTCCATGAAAGGTCAGTAGTAAGCGATAATCCAAGAAGACGTAAAGAGGAGGACTCAGTAAAAGGATTGCCATTCATTAATATAGGAATGTTGACCATATTACGCCATATAAGCCGGAGTGATTTGAATGTCTAACAATGGGTCAACCTGTTTGACTGGAATGGAAGGAAGAGAATGTCCATAAGATTCAAGAGTGGAATTAGAAGAAAAGTTCTTTGCAAATAGTTCTGCCTTATCCTTGTGAGAGGTAATAAGATCAGTCCCATGAATGAGAGATGGAATGTTAGATCTTCCCTAGTTAATAATGCATAAAATACATAAAATTACATGCATAATAATACATTATTATGCATGTATAATAATACATTATTATGCATAAAATTACATGCATAAAAATACATATATAAAAATACATTACATACATAAAAAATACATCCCTTATATATAAAAAAAAGAATATACTAATAAAGTCTAATATATTTACAAAACGTTGACAAGTTAAAAAATATAAACTTAAAACATTTATTTTTGTAAACAAATGTTAGTTTAAAACACATTTATAGCTTTGTAGATGTGGCTCCGAGAATTAAAATAATAATTCCTTTGATAGTATATTCTTAAAATAATTTATGCTAGAAATCTCAACGAAAACTTAACATAACTCAATTAATACAATTTTTTTGAATATTTTATCAGAATACTCTTGAAATTTCTCTTCGTATTTTTTGAACCAATAGAACTAGTTGTTCGTAGATTTGGCCGTTTTTTTGTGTTCGCAAATATTCTTTTTTTATTTTTCACACAAAGATGTTTGAGAATATTCAAGTTTATTTATGTTTCTGTGTATGTTCGTAAAACAAAATATTTTAAAAATTACGATAAAATAATGAACTTAATTAAGGAAACATACATAAATTTAAATGTTCTCAAAACGACTAAAAAATCTGGCCCGGTTTTCCGCAACTAAATATTATTTCCGTGGTCAGTTATCGAGTGCAATCACACCCGCTTCCCGACCGAGCCTGCTGAAATAGCCTAAAAATAAGGCATTACAAATGAGCTTTTTTGTCCATTATCACAATCTTGTCTATACAAATAAAAGTTGGCTCTCCATGTTCATTAATGTCTGCTATTAGTGACATTCCAGGTTTGTAAACAGTACCATAGTCTTCAAGAAAATTTGCAATATATACAACAGCATGTTTATCTGCAAAATGTGATGATATTGTTTTTCCATTTGGCACAAGATATAAAAGTGTTTCTGTAAATGTGCCCACAGCAAGACTTTGTTTATTTCCACCACTGACTACATTGTGCAAGTTGATGATGAAATGCAAGAGTGTACGCAATGTTACAAAAATTGCATACAATGTGGGCTAATTGCTTAAAAAATTGTGTTTGGCTTCAAAACGCATGCACCACATCCTGGCTAGTGGCCCATTTTTTAGGATTAGAATTGGATAATGTGTAAGCCTGTGGTGTTTGTATATTAAATTCTTATATGGAAAAAGATTTTTGAACAGTGATTTATGGTCAGCAATCAAAGCCTCTAAGTATGTCATGTCAGATTTGTGGACTGCAGGTGAAAATACAATGTTTGAAATTTTTAACAGCAGCAGCCAAAGTCTCCAGTGTTCAGAGTCACTTGGTACTTTACCACCAATCAACAAAGGACAATTAATAAAGTCATTGTTTGACTAGATCTCTGTCCGAGAAAAGAACTTTTATCTTTTAAACGATTTTCAGTTATCAGACTGGGTCTTTTGTCTTGTAATGTTAATCCATAAGAAAAATGTCTAAGACGATTATTTAACAAATTAAAATCAAAAAGATTTTGATTGTAAATAAAATTATAAAGAACTAATTTGAATTCTAAAGGAGCTATGTCTTTTAAAATATCATGCATGATGTCTCCAGTATCATTTTCAGCTGGTTGATAGTACTTAAGTTCTTTCAAAATACTTACAACTTTAATTCCAAACTCAGCTTTATAAACTTGCTGTGCTGCTAATTTATTAACAATTGCCTCATATTGTGCTACAGTTCGTTGAAGCTTTGGAATTTCTGTAAAACTGCTTTGCATTGTTTTTTTTGTGCTGTGCATAGATCACAACAAAAGTCACTATTAAAAGACTCTACAAAGCCTAAACAAGTATGAATTCCAAGGTTGTCCCCTGTAATTTGACCAAGAATGCATCACATTCATGTCTTGAAGTAGCTTCACCCTGAACTTTGATTTCACCCTGAACTTTCAATTTCAGAAATCCATCCTCCATACACTTTAAATCATCAACAATTGCTCTTAAAAATGCATTAATGCTATATTTTTTTATGTCATTGACATATGTCAATGCGACTAAATGTACATTTGCTAAATTAGAATTGAAAATAGCTAGAAAATTTTTCAAAATAAAGTAAAATGCTCCAAGCTTGTATATTGACGCTTTTGTTCCTATAGGATTTACTGTTTCCACATCATCAAAATAAAATTGAATAATAAGTTGGTGTGTAATAAAATCAACTGAAGGCGAGGGATGGCAATTTCGGTGTGCTTAGTAATTACTTCCATCTTGGTAGTCACACAAGATTCTACCTTCAGCTATAGTTTCATTAAAAGTGCAGTCTGACCAACAATCTTAATGTCTAAAAATATACTTAAGGGTTTTGCTGATGGGTACAAACATAAAAGTGTCTTCTACTTGAACTTGCTTGCTCATCTTTGTTTCCAACCGATGTCCCAATACAATTTCAGTAGGGATATTTAATGCACCAACCTTTTCTAGATATGTACTCAGCTTTTTCACAGTGTCAATATTCTGGAATGGATGTTAAAGAGCGGCAAGAAAAATTTCTGCAGTGTTTTTATTCTCTAAACTATTCATAGTGAATACTTCACTGACTTTATGTTGCGCAGCACAAGCAAAAACAGAAAACATCTCATCTCAACCATTATGGATGTCATTTATATTGCTTAATCGAATAGCGGCAGACATTAGATTAAGAAGAAACCTGGCAGCTAGTAAGAATATTCCTCTATGGTCAAAACACTCAGCTATATCAAGAATTGGTTGTGCATCAGGAGCATCATTAAAATTATCAAAATCTTCTGGCAAAAAGCTGTCTTGGGTATCAATATTGGTAAATCAAATACTTGATTAGTAAAAAAAGGCACTTTCTGAGCTTGCTTTTTAACATGAGAACGCACATGTTATTGAAAACTATGAAAAGATGTAAATAATCTTTTGCATCTTTTTTGGCCACATATTAGTTCACATGGCTCCTCAAGTGCATGTATACCATTC